GGCTCTCAGGCTCTGCCCCCTCTTCTCCAGAGTCTGTGAGGTATTAAAAGCATCAGTAAAGACACCTCTGTTGGCTGAAAGGAAAAGAAACTCCTGTTTGCCAACGCACACCCGGTCCCTCAGGTGCTGCCCAGATGAAGGCAGCAAGAGTTTTCCTGTCTGGCCAACGTGCAGCAATTTAGTGTAGGTTTTTCAAAGCACTCACAGCTTATCTATCTCACAGCTAAGGGGCACGATGGAAACTCCTCATTCAGGTCATGTATGCCTGCTCCTGCTCCCAAGGTGCTGCTGCTGTGCGTTGTTCAGGCTGACATCAGGAGCTGTACATGGTCGATCCTGCTTGCTGCACAGCTCTTGGCCCTTTGCTTATTGCTCACCTTGGCTTCTGGGGCTCCATCCATCCCTTGCTGGCTCCAGGGCTTTGCAGCAGCGATCCCCCTTGCAGTGCCAGCAGGTTCAAGCCTCTGCAAGTGCAATATTTAGTGTTCAGCATTCCTCTTTTCACACAAACACCCAACCTGATACGAACCTACCTAGACATTCCTCCAGCTCCAATTCTGGCCTGGTTGCTTGGGATACAAGAAGGAGTTTGGCACATTCAGCAAATGTTCAATACACATCATACCATAATTGAATACAGTGTCTCCTGGCAGGTCATCTGAGGCCAGATCCTGGTTACCTGACCCTGAGAACCATCCCCTCCATCCAGCCAGACTCGTGGCTCACTCCTAGTCTCAATACTCCTCATTTCCCCACCTATGATGGGAGCTCAGCCTGGCTTCCATAAAAATTAAAAGGAACATCCTAGAATCCTAGGCTTGTCTAGTTGGGGAAAGAGACTTAAGACCATCAAGACCAGCTATCAATCTAACACTACCAAGTCCACCAATAAAACACGTCCCACGATGCCACATCCACACCTCTCTTAAATATCTCCAAGGATGGAGACTCCACTGGGCAGCCTGTTCCAATGCCTGACCACACTTTCTACGAACACAGGTTGGACATTAGGAAACATTTCTTCTCCAAAAGACTGGTGATGCATTGGGACAGGCAATAGCAATACCATCCCAGGAAGTGTTCAAGAACCATGGAGATATGGCACTGAGGACATGGTCAGTGGACATGGTAGGATGGATTGGGCTTGGGGATCTGAGAGGTCTTTTCAAGCCTTAATGATTCTATGATTCCATATGTTCAATCTAAACCTCCCTGGCATAACTCAAGGCCATTTGCATCAAAGACTCTATCAGGAAGACCTATCTTGCACTTTATATGGGACATCATTAACCTCTTGAATGTGAACAAGAGTGTCTTCTGAATGGTGACATGACTCTGGCTGGCTGCACTGAGCTGCTGCCAAAGTCTGGGCTGTAATCTTCAAGGATCCTGTAAATAAATCATGGAATCACAGAATAATTAAGGTCCAACCTTCAGTGTATCATTATGGGAGATTAAAGGCAGCAGTAAAGGAGTGCTGGAGAGGAATCCCATTTCAAGCAATGCAACTGGTAAAGGTAAAAAAAAAAAAAAAAAGCTCCCTAGAATTAATGGAAAATTTCCCTACGGCTTCCTATGTACTTCAGCTCTGCCTATGGCATCCCCATTTTCCACCGTGCCTCCTCCATGCAGTGCTGCATAACTTGTGCTTTCTTTCCACCTTGCTCCCCATCCCTGGCGTATGGCTCGCGGTCACCTTCTGTGCGCACAAAGCTGAATGTGAAGCTGAAAAATACGGCACTAGATGGCAGCATGTGACACCACAAACTGCAGCCCGGATCACGCATTGCTCACGTACCACATCCCACCGATCACCGCATCCCGCAGGAAGCAGAGTTTCGGGCTTTCTGCTCAAGTTGTGCCATGTGCTTAGAAAGCAGGATATGTTTGTTTCTCTGTCCCCAGGCCAAGCAGTGCAGCCCTACGTGAATCTTCATACATTCACCCTACCTGTGGCTGCCGAGGTGGGTGCAGCTTGATGATGCTGCTGGCTCCATTCTCTCCAACCAGCACAGTGCTGAAGTCAAAGGGCCCTAAAGGGGTCAGAAAAGGAGAAGGTGAAGCACAGCCATTTTCAGATGTCTGCTCCTGGGCTTTACTCAACTATTAGCTTTCTACCATATTTTTTCTTGGCATTTCCCACACCCATCTCTCCCAGCTTTTTGCCTATCAAGGTGCTGGTGCCCCGTCCCTGCAGACACCCAAAATCAGGCTGGATGGGGCTCTGAGCACCTGATGGAGCTGTGGATGTTCCTGTTCATTGCAGGGGATTTGGACCAGATGGCCTTGAAGGCTCCCTTCCAGCTCAAAAAGTGTCTATGATACTACACCAGTAACAGAAGGTATAAATTATTGTTACCCATAGAAATAACACATGGATGTATTTGCATTTAAGAAATCTGTCTGCCACGTGTCTCTCTTCTCCCTTTACAGCCCCTCATGCAGTTCATACACATACAGTGACCAACCTCTGTGTCTCCTACAGCATCTCTGGGGCTTCTCCTTCTACACACAGCACCAGGGTGAGGAATGAGTGAGCTCTCTGGCCACCCCTACCTTGAAGCATAGAACAGGCAGAAAGCTGGGCCTCTTTTTGTTGCTCAGCCACAAAATCACACAGAAGAGACCTTAAAGATCACCTGGCTACCACCCACCAGCACCTGTTACTTATTAAGGCAGTGCTTTAACTGAGCTCAACCTACCCTGAGCTCTGTGCTGTTCCTCCTGGGTGTGCAGTGCTGTGTTATTGCTTGCACAATTAGACATGCACAGTAACTGTTACAGCTTCTCTGTCCTCCCCAAACCTGCCCTTGGGTGTCTGAATGCCATTCCATGTGAGTCATTGAGCTCCCATATCTTGGCCTCATGGGAGGGGATATGAGGATAAAGGGCTGGGCAGTGGCACAGGGAGAAAGGGAAAAAGGTATTGCATTGGTGTTAAATCCACATTGGGGTTTAACAGTGGGAGGTGCCCTGATGGGGGCTGCAGTACCCCCAAACCCAATCCGTTCATCCCAGACCATTGTCACACCAAAGCTTTGTATGCTGTCACAGCAGCCTGCTGTCCCTCCACAGACAGTCCTTGTGTCCCACTCCAGGTGAGCACAAACCTCCTCCTTCACCTCCGGGTTTGGGTATGGGACATTTGGGGCACAGCACATTGCAGTGGGACTCACCTTCCTCTGCCTCTTGCTAGTGGAGTCAGCCTGGTGCCGCGGGGCTCTGATTTATTTTAATGCTGAATTTCACATCTAATTAAAGTCTAACTCTAATTAAGGTAATGATACGGCTGTGCCCAGCGGTGCACGTTATGGGGTTGTGATTTGAATGCTGTGTCTGGCACTGCAGGGGTGCTGTGAGTTGGGCTCTGAGACCATCTCAAAAGGCTCTGGAAGGGAAACAGTTGCTGGGAAAGGCCTCCCCCCCCTCTTGCTCCATACCTGTGGAGGCTCTCCTATACCCAGTCTGGCGGAGGGGTGGGAGCTGCCTGTGGGTTATGGGATGTCCATGCTCCGATGTGGCTGCTGGGTGCAGGCTGGGCTCCCCCAGCACCTCCTCACTGCTGAGCATCGGTGCCACCTGGGTCACCCTGGGGTGTGTCTTGGAAGAGCTGAGACCCATTTTGTAGAGCTTTGGAAGAAGGAAAAGCCCACTCTGAAAGCAGTGCTGTGATGCAGAGCTCCCAGCTGGCTGCAGAGCCCAAGGCCGAATCCCACAGCCAAATGCACTCATGTGCCCTTCCCAGCAGGGTTAAACATTGACACAGCCCTGGCCACTGCTTTGTTTTTACCTCCACATGACTTTCCGCCTCAGCTGGTTGAGCTGGAGGCATTTCTACAAGTGGTTCTTTTGCTAAACCTTCAGTCTTTGGAAAGAAATTCGATGCTCGGAGTGCCCAAAGGGTCACAGCATCTCCAGAACCTCCTCAGGTGTATGGAAAGCACCCCCTACCCTTGCTTTATCTCTTGTAGTGGCATTGCTGGAGGTAAAAACAGGTTTATCACAAACCCACCTAAAACATCAAAGCCAACACCAAGATTCAGGAATGGATGTTAGGAAACATTCTCCAAAAGAGCAGTGATGCTGTGGCACATCTGCCCAGGGAGTGCTGGGGTCACCATCCTTGGAGAGGTTCAAGGACTGCGGAGATGCAGCACTGAGGGACGTTGGCAGTGGGCACAGTGAGGGTGGGGATCTGGGAGGTCTGTTCCAACCTGAATGGTTCTATGCACCAATGGGGTGGGTCAGATCCTCACCTGGAAGTTTGTGTTTTTGGGGACGTGGGGCAGGCAGAATGGCTTTGCTGGGGGTGGGAGGAAGGCACAGCTGCAGAATGGCTGTGTCTGAGCAGGCACTGGGCAGGTGGGATTCTCAGTTTGTATCCCTCCGATGGATCAGCAACACAGCTGTGCAGAACAGCCCTGGATTTCACATTATTTTCCTTGCTGAATGCTTAATGAGGTTCCTTGAAGGATCCAGTTCTGGGCCTGAAGATGCTGCCATGAGGCTGCATGCCAAAACGCACTCGTCAATGCATGCTGAAAGGAAACGCTTGTTTTCCCTGTGTGTTTGGTTTGGCAGGAGCTGGAATTTCAGTAAAACACATCTCTACAGCTCTCTGTCGGTGTAAATGAATGTGTCAACCCCAAAACCAACATGGGGTGGTGCCCATCCAGCCACAAGTGTGACTGATCCCAGAAATGCTGGGTCACAGCTCTCTTAGGGTGACAGGCAGGAAGTGGTTGGTTTGCTTTGGCTTTTGAAAGGTTTTTCACTGTGGCGGATGAGAAAACTATTGTTTGGCCCAATGAAATGCTCTAAGAAATGGGATCTGCCATTTCCCAAGGGTGCTGGTGGTTCAGGGTGCTCCATCTCTCATGGGAAGGCTCTGGGAGGTACTGGGCTCGTGGTAAAGCTCAGCATCATTGGGTTCAATAACACAGGAGCTTAAATGTTTGGTTTTTTTTTTTAATTAGAAAACATTTTATTGTGGTTATTTACACCCTTTCCTTGGTAAGTGTATAAATGTAAACATTTATTATAGATCTAACTCTCTTATCTTACAACTCATACCCAGTTCAGAGTAAATGGCATTTTTAAGCATACAAGGAGTGAGGAAATTTAAGCTATATTCACAGAATATACATCTGCGTGCAGTACAGTCCACCAGCCCTAAGCTAGTGGTATAGACACTGTGCCATTGGCTCTGCTTCTGCTTCTCGTGTGTACGCTGGAGTCTGTGATGTCGTCGGCGTGATCCTCACTTTTCTTCTCCTTTAAGCTGTTGATGAACCTCAGGGTTATTTCATCCCACTCTTCGGGGAGCAGCATCAGCAGGAACCCAATGCAAATGATGATGGTGGCTCCCAACCTCACCACGCTGAAGATCATTTTGTGCTTCAACAGATCTACAGCTGCGAAGGAGAAACAACAGCACCATCAGAACTGCAGCAGGAAAAAGACTGTGGCATCAGATCAGCCTGGCTTATCTCCATGACATGCATCTTAGATGGCCACGTTGTCTGCCATCCCCTAAAGTAACCAGATCTTGGACAACGTAAAAGACTTTTCCTTGTATCTAAGCTATTTTCTTGAAACTTGAAGCCATTTCTCCTTATTCTCTTATCACAGACCCTGCTCAAAAGTCTGCCTCCTTCTTCCCTGTAGCTCTCCTTCGGATATTGAAAGGCTACCAGCAGGTCATGTCCCTGTGCCACATGGATCGGGGAGGGCAGCAAGCTGGAGGTGATGCCTCCAGGCCCAGTCTGCCAGCTCCACAAGCGTAATAACAGCACATCTGAGCCCTTACAGGGCTGACAATCACATCGTGCATCTCTGACCTGCATCCCCCTATAAATAGATGTTTCTTTGGAAATGTGCCCAGACACCTGGAGTTGCAGGGAGATGGAGGAGGAAATTAGAAGAGCAGAGACAGGCAGCTATTGAAGAAGAAGGAAGGACTTTGGAGTAATGTTCCACATGTATGGGCTGCCCTCATCAGTCACCAGCTCTGGGGCTGCTGCCTGCCTCCCCTGTGCTCAGTATGGGCACAGCCACCAGGGAAAGGAAGACAAAAGAAACAGCTTTGGTTAACCAAAAATCCCTCCATCACCAGCAGCATGCATGGGAGCCAAGCGACATCGAATCCCTTCTGAAATACGTGGCAAGAACATTTTGACCACTTAGACAAAAAACTGCCTCTGCTGTCTGCATGCTGATGTGCTTATCTTCCAACCAACGAGCACAGGACTTGTACCTGCATTCCCAGGGACGCTGAGCACTGTGCCAATGGAGATCAGAATGGGGTACGTAAGCACGACGCCAACGTTAACCAGAATGTTGAAGGCTGGGGAAAACAGATAAAATAATACATGGTTATGCAGAAGAGCACTAGAATGAGATTCTCCTCCTCCACTCTGACCCCAGAAGTATGATGGGAATTCTATAATCATAGAGTCATTAAGGTTGGAAAAGACCTCTAAGATCATCTAGTCCAACCATCCACCTACCATCAACAGCGCCCACTGACCACGTCCCTCAAGATAAAGAGGCACTCATGCAATTAGCCTATGAAGTCAGCTAAGCAGGTTGTTCTTAGACCACGGTCTTGCTGCAATGTTGAAGGCAGTACAAACGCTAAATGTGCATTTATGGGATGTTTTGGGTTTTTTGTTTTTTATTTAAGTAGTCCTAAACAAGCAGAACTCCGGGTGGTAAGTTATCACTACTTTTTGTCCCTTTGATGCTCAAGGAGAAGCTGCCATTCAGCTTAGGAATGGCAAGGGCTTGCTCTCAGCACCTCAGCTGTCAGACCCACTGTGTTTTAACATGGCTGCATTGATGAGCTGTGCACTGGCAACGACATCCTTTTTGTTTCCCTTTAATATACTTGTAGTGGAGACAAACCTCTACAATTATGAAATAATTGAGACTTTAGCAAAGGAAAGGATGTTTTTATACCTACAAATTAAAACACCCCTGGGCTGAATCCAACAGCTTTTCAGCCTGGCTAGAGGACAGGAATTGTGGCTCTGGAAGAAGAAGTGTTATGGGAGAGAGGAGGGGAGGAGAAGGCTGCAGGAAATGAAACAGACAGCACCAGCCTTTGCAGACCCCCAAAAAGCTGTGCAACCTCTGCCCAGAGCCTGCAGCACCCCAGCAATGTGTCCTGCATCAGTAGGTCTCCATGTCAGTGCTGTATGCACTGCAGAGCCTGCCAGGAGCTGCTCGGCTGTGTGCAGCCCTTTGAAATTCCATTTTTAGCAACCAATCTGGGACAGAGAAAGTGAAATATCAATAACACCGCTGTAGGAATGCAAAGATGAAAAGTGAACAATTAGTCCGAGTGCTCTTTGTTCCCTTTTACTAATATTAGTGTTAAGGCCTCCAAAGGAAAGCGTTACTCATTCTTCAAGGAGCACCAGTGTGCACTGAGGTCAGATTCCATCTGGGAGAGCTTTGGATTGGGTGCAAAGGGATGGGACAGAAAAACGAGCACCTGTTTTATCACATACCTAACCAGAGGCCAGCTACTCCACACAGGTAGCCCCATGGCACAGCAGAGAAGGGTGACCAGTATTCCACCTTCGTAAAATACAGTATGATTGGGGTAACAGAGATGAAAATTAAATTGAAGAAGCCCAAGGTGGAAACAAAGTGAGCAGCCTCCCCAAAGTTCGCACTGCCAAGAAACATCTTGAACAAAACCTGCAAAGGAAAGAGAGGGGTTTTAGTTTAGGCTGTTGTGGAAAGCAAAATCCTCCTGCAGAGCATCCTCCATTTCCTTGGGAAGAATGGGGCACAAGAACAGCCCTGACCAGGACAGGGTGTCACATCCCCAAATTCCTTCTTTGCAGAGTTGCCCTCAGTGAGTTCTCCCAGAGTGTACACACAGCTGGGACCTCCCAGACCAAACCCCAACACCTTGCATTTGGCTTTGCTGAATCTCATTAGACTCACATGGGCCCAACTTTTGAGTTGTCCAGGTCCCTCTGGGTGACATCCCTTCCTTCCTATCAACTGCATCACTCAGCTTGGTGTCAACAGCAAACTTGCTGAGGGTGCATTTGATGCCATTGTCTGTGTTGCTGATAAAGATGTTGAAGAGCACCGGTCCCAAGATGGACCCCTGGGGGACACTGCTTGTGACCAGCCTCCACCTGGACATAGAGCCATTGACCACAGCCCTCTGGCTATGACATCCCAGCCAATTCTTTATCCATCTAACAGTCCAGCCTTCAAACCCATCTCTCTCCCATTTAGAGATGAGGATGTGGTGTGGAACCATGTCAAAGGCCTCGCACAAGTCCTTGTAGATGACATATCATGATGTTTATTATAAAATGCCAAAAGGTGTATAACTCAACCCAAAGACATAGCAGCCCATGTAAGGAGAGTTACAGGAGTAAACACAGCCATCTTAGCCCAACCTAGAAGGTGGGCTATTTCTAGGTCAGCCATGTCCCTCCCTTCTTCATCTCTCACCTCCAAGAGCAGCTTCAAGCAGGAGTCAGAGCCCTGCTGTCTCTAATATACCAGACAAACAGGGGCTCTGAGCCTGGCACGAGAGTGGAATACACAAGAGCTCTGCACTGCAGCCCAGAGACCAGACGTCTGTCCCTGCAGAAGGGACACATTGCTATCTGCTGCAAATGGCCCACTTGAAACAGTGTCAACGAATGGCAGCGGCAAGAAATGGTTAAAACACGATCTTAAACTCCTTGCAGGAGGATAACAACAGAGATTTCATCAAGGACTCGTAAAGCAAAGGCAAGCTGAATATTTGGCAGCTACAGACTAATTACTCTGGTAGTAAGATTTCTGACATCGTGACATCGCCTGGTCACAACATGAGGGGTAAATAAATTGAAGCATTGAATTCACAGGGATCTGCTCTGTACATTCACGTTATTAACATCTAATGCTAAAAAAAAATAAAAAAATATTAATAAACAGTGACGACCCACCTTATACAATGCAGATGTAGAGGCTGATCCAACAGCATATGCTACCCCGATAATTGAATCACCCTGGAAACCATCTGCATATGCCATCATTACGATTCCTGTGATTGCCATTATTGCTGCGACTATCTGCACAGACAAAGCAAAGCAATGTGAAGCTCAGCACAGTTTCATTACACAGAAAGAGATTATCACTGCGGGGGGGCTTTAATGAGTGTCACTAGCTATGTTCTCTGACTTCAGATCTTCCCGGCTTCCCTTAAATAGGTGGTTATATACTGTTGGGAGAGATGTAAAACATAATGAAAGTGTATGCACTGAGAGTGATATGGATCTATAGCATTGCAAACCGTCCTGGGAGCTATTCACATAACATCCATCATTTTGTATTTTACAAGCTAAAAACCCACTTTAAAGATGTGATTCCAAGACCGAGAGATTTCTAAGATACTTTTGCTATGCAAGAGGATGAATATTTATCAAAGCCACCACTTGGACCTGGAATATAAACATTTTGATGGGAAGCCTTCCTGGAGATCAGCCCAGGAGAATAACTCTTGTGTTGGGGAACAGCTGTACATAACTGGGAGCTGTGTACATTTCCCAATGGCTGCGCCAGCTTTCTTGGACAGACGTGGCCAAATGTCTTTAATAAGCCTTTACCTTTCTGGTCAGGGTTTGTAGGGTTGGGTTTTTTTTTGCCTCTTTTGAAAATCCAAGTCAGAACTTCTAAGAAAAAGAATAGAAATACGTATCTACATAGTAGGTGAAATCCTGGGTCCTGACTCCAGGAAGCCTCATGAAGTGCCAGGGATCACTCCATGCTTTATTCTTTGAAAAACTCCTCTCTTCCTAACTGCCCTCAGCAGGTAAATACGGTGTCTTTACCTTATTTTGCTTTCAAAGATGGTGACTACCTAACTTCCATGGACTTCAGAGGGAAATGTTTCCTCAGACCTGGGGAAAATCACAGCTCCATTTCTGAAAGATGGGTTTTTAAATGGATATTTTAAAAAGAATAAGTATAGCATTAAACACCTTGTCATTATAAATAAAAGATTGTCCTAGAGCTTGGCACAGTCAGAAAATGCACAAATGCAGATCTCTAATGTTGGCTGTTACAGAGTCATCAGCAGTTTGTAAGGCTCAGATGCTTTTCTCTTATCAGATACCCATTAAATGGCACAGTGCAGAGGACAAGGAGGGCCCTCTCCATCCATACAAACTAAAACAAATATACTTATACGCAACAGCATGCCGTGTTGCAGTCAGCTCCTGAGCAACCTGCTTTCATAGAATCACAGAATCATAGAATGGCTTGGGTTGGAAGGGACCTCAAGGATCATCAACCTCCAACCACCCTGCCACAGGCAGGGCCACCAACCTCCACATTTCATAGCAGCCCAGGCTGCCCAGGACCCCATCCAACCTGGCCTTGAACACCTCCAGGGATGGATGGGGCATCCACAACCTCCTTGTCTCTGGTACAACCCCAAACCAACACCAACAAGACATGGGGCACTGGGTTAGGAGTTCTTTCTGGAAAACCTCACTTAGCTGCACATAAGAAATGGTTACAAACAGATGAAGTTGAGTTTCACATGCTTCACACACACACAGGCAAAGATTTCTCCATAAAACCACCTGGCCTAATGCAGAGCAGTCTGACTTTCAGATCTCACAAAGGTTCACCAAGAGTCCTAGAAACCAACTGATAACTGAGCAGATGCTGAGGCAATAAACACAAAACCCTCATAAAACAACTTCAACAGCACCATTCAGAAGAGCAAAGCCATGTCTCAGGGGACACACAAGATGAAGACACGTGTAAATGTGTCCATGCATGGGACATGACTGGGAATCACTAATCAACTCCCATAGTGAAGCCAAGTCTCTGAGACTGAAGCTAAAATGTCAGCACTCCTAAATCCCAATGGCTGGAAGGGATGTTTTTAAGGCCCATTGAATCCCAGTCCATCATGGGCAGGGACACCTTCTATCACCTCAGTCTGCCCAGGGCCCCATCCAGGCTGGCCTTGGGCACTTCCAGGGATGGGGCACCCACAGCTTCTCTATGCCAGCATCTTATCACCTAATAGAGAAGAATTTCTTCCTTATATCTAATCTAAATCTCCCCTCTATTAGTTTAAAGTCATTACTGCTTCTCCTTTCACTGCACTCACTGACAAATTATGTAATAATTGTCTAATACTGCTATTCCTCCTTATGGTTTATCCTAGCATACCAATACCACAGCAGCCCAGCTTTGAAGCAGTGCAGAATCATAGTCAGCACATCTCTGACATCAGCATGACACCTCCTGTGATTCTGCACAGCTTCCCTTGCCCTGCTTACTGCACATCTGGTTTCATCTTGGGCTGCATCGCACATCCCGTCTCGTGCATAAATTCAGATGCAGCATTTCAGCTGTCAGCTGGATCCTTCAGCCACAGTATTTCAGGCAATATCTCCCATAAGATAAAACAGGGGAATCTGATGCAGTTATCCCCTTCTTCGGATAGAAAGGATCAAGATTAAACCAACACTCTGACCCAGTAAGTGAAGCCTTTCGTGGTACTGGTGACCAGTAGATCCATCATCCCCACAGAAAGGACCTCCCTGTTGGGAAAATCATCTTCCCAGCCTGACTACATCCAATTCTGAGAGGCAGTTTCCTAATTTAATCAACAATTTAGAAAGCCAAGCACCTTTTCCCCTGAAACAACCACAGCAATGGACAGACATGGGGCATCATCTCGTAAGACTTCAGAAACATACGACCTGATACGAGAAAACAGAGAGAACATTATTTCAACTTCATGTACAAAGCTCTTGCTGCAAATCACACACCACTGCATTAGCACAGCTGACCTTGTGTGTTTGCTTTAGAAACCTGAGCACACATCCTGCAGACAAGCAGCAGCAAGGCCACGGCCAGGCAAGGCTGACAGATGACAGCTCGTTAAACAAGGCTTTTAATTAATGGAAGAGTGGAATAACTTTCTCTCAGAGCTTTGTAGGTAAGGAATGAAATCAGCTTGCCTTTTTCTTTTTCCTGGAAGACAGCTAGGCCAACTAACAGAAACAATTGCTTTTCTGTGTGCAGCATGTGGCAAAATGGGGTGCTGCAGTAAGGAAATCTGTGTTTGCACTCAGCCAACCTTTTTTTTGGGGGGAAAAATGCCCCCAAAGCACTCTGCTCCTACCCAATAAGCGTCACTTCAGCTGCCAACTTCACAGAAGAAATACAACCATGGGCTCAAACTTGGGAATGTTTAACATGTGGCTACACCTAGGTATCATAAACCCACAGAACTCTTCAAAGATGAGAAGTCATTCATGCATCTGTGCTTGCTCTGAGCCACGGCTGTCCAGCCTTCCACAAATCCCTGTATAACATGGACACAGGGTACATCTTATTATAGTGCATTCATAAGTCCAAGCAAAACAAGTTATGGCATAGTAGGGTCTGTATGATGTTCCCTGTGCAGATACTCACTGTGGCTAAGGGTCTGCCTCCACTGAAACTCTGACTGCTTGCTCTTAAATAAATAGATACACGTTCATTACTGTGTATATCAGTTTCATACAAATATTCTTTCTCCAGTGTGTGTTTTATCATAGAATCACAGAATGGCCTGGGTTGCAAAGGCCCACAGTGCTCATCCAGTTCCAACCCCCTGCTATGTGCAGGTCACCAACCAGCAGACCAGGCAGCCCAGAGCCACATCCAGCCTGGCCTTGAATGCCTCCAGGGATGGGGCATCCACAACCTGGTCTAATGCATCACCCCCCAATGCACTGCAGATATGCCCCACAGCTCCCAGGCTCTGACAGAACAAGTAGCTGAGCTCTGAAACGCTGGCTGGGCTCCAAGCTGCTGTGTGCTTCTGCATGGGGTATGCAATTACCCTTTTTCTTTCCATCCCCTTCATGTCCAAATAACCAAATCGTGCCTGCTGTCTGAGATGCATTCCTAATACCAAAGGCTGAGTCCACGCTGCTTTGCTGTGTTTTAGTTCTCATACACTCTCCTGCGTGGTTATTAACATCATTAAGTGTTATTCTGGCAGGAGGGCTGCTGGAAAACGCTGCTAATTACCCTTCCAGCACAGTGCATGCAGAATCTGCCACTTAGCAGTAAAAGCAGCTTCTTTCATGTGCAGGATTTGCTGTTGGCTTCCTCTGCCAGCTCTTTCTTGTACAAACCTCACGGTGTTTACAGCATTAATACTAATGCATATTTATAACGACTTTGTATCAGTCAGTGAAAAACAGCTAATAACTGAGAATAGCTTTAGTATTTTTTACCTGTTTTCTTTAAGAAAGTGGCCTGCAGAAATGCAGTAATTGTGTTTGCTCTTCTAAAAAGAGGTTGCTTTTAGGGAAAAAAAAATAGCTTAAAGAGCCCCAAATTTCCTATTTTTTTTCCCCAGCTGGGCTCAGAATCACCTTACACAAGTGAGGAATAACAGCAGGAAGCTGAGATGATCAAGGGACCGAGGGGGGAAAACAGCCTCAGAAGTCACTGCTCCTGTTAATTGCTGTGCAGAAGAACTGAGGATTTCAAACCCTGCTTCTGTGAGCCAGCCATCAGCACGATGGGGGTATGGCATGCTCAGATATCTGAGTTTTTACATTTTTAATTATATATGAAATAGATACACAGCTGTCTGGCTTTAGTACTGCAAGGTGAGGTGTGTCCATGCCCTTACCTTCATGGCACAGACCCTTTGCTGAACCCATCCAGCAACAACCCCTATCCAAAGGAGAGGTTCTCATGGGACAGCATGTGGCTGCCCTATGCTCCATGTCATTACAGACTGCCTAGCCAGTCCTGTCCTTCCAGGAAACCCCAGAACTGTTTTACTTTAAACAATTCCTTTTTCTGTCCCCAAAACCCAAGCACAATGATTGGGCAATGTGCTGCTGTCTGCTCCAAATGCCTGTGAGTTAGGGTGCCTTCTCCTTTCACTTCTGAACCAATTCTATCACATTGCTAATTAAAACCAAGCTGTTGTCTTCATCATTTTTTATAAAAGCGGCCCACTTGGATAAGCATCCTGATCCTTCAAGCTTTCCATGGAACTTCCACTCTATTGACCCTCCTGGTCATGGAATTTCCATTCTATTGACCCTCCTGGTCATGGAACTTCCATTCTATTGATCCTTCTGGTCACGGAACTTCCATTCTATCGACCCTCCTGGTCATGGAACTTCTGTTCTATCGACCCTCCTGGTCATGGAACTTCCATTCTATTGACCCTCCTGGTCATGGAACTTCCATTCTATTGACCCTCCTGGTCATGGAACTTCCATTCTATAGACCCTCCTGGTCATGGAATTTCCATTCTATCAATCCTCCTGGTCATGGAACTTCCATTCTATCGACCCTCTTGATCATGGAACTTCCATTCTATCAACCCTCCTGGTCATGGAACTTCCATTCTATCAATCCTCCTGGTCACAGAACTTCGATTCTATTGACTCTCCTGGTCCTAGGCACCAGCCTGGCCCCACACAGTCACTGGTGGGGCTCAAGGTCCAGAAGGATCACACCCAATGAGACCATGTGGCCTTGGACCACCACTTCAATGGGAGAATCTGCACAAGCAGAAACAGGGAAGACTTGGCTGCTCTTTAGCCAAGTTATAGAACACAACCATTCAAACTGCTGCATATCAGATCTCAGATGTGGTGGTGGTTTATGCATGTGTACGTGTGGAACAAGTATGCATTTTACATATTGAATACAGCTGCCTGCTCAAACAAGGATTAAAATCACTTTGGTTAGAACCTAAGCATTTATCACAAGGTTTAAAATAAAATTAAGTGACTGTACTTAGCCCTGTAACCCAACCGAGTCTGACACCTCTAACTGATCTTCAGGCTCACATTTGGACCACAAAGCTAAATGAGAATGGTTTCATGGTATATGCATACCATAACGTGGTGTACACATACCATATGCAGCAGGACTATGGTAGTGCAATAGCTTATGGTTTGAGGGAAGGATGAAAATAAGAGAGGTGAAAATCAGGCATGCCATTACCCTTGCTCCCATGAACCTGTCTTTCAGCACAATCCAAGAAAGCAAGAAGACAAAAGCTTTGTTACAACAGAACAGAGCAGAGACGTCTGTGGCTGTCAGCTTCTTTAAAGCCAGTAAATACAAGTAGTTAGTCAAAGTCCACAGAATAGAAAAGGGAGCAGTCCTTTTAAGAAAGAGTTTCAGCGTCAGACCATCTTCACCAAAAATCCGACTGCATTCCCTAAGAAAAGAAAAGAGAGTTTAAAGCTCAGCTAGGATTCTGCTTAGCATTCACTCCAGCACAGCAAACATTCATTAGACTTTTATCACACTCAATTAAGTGCTTTTCTTAACTACTCTGCATGCCTGTAAGAAAGTATTGTTTAATTCACATAGAGAAAATAACCAACATTTCTCTCAAAACAGCAGTTTCACAAACAGAAAAGAAGTAGCTTACCTGGAATAATCACACTCTATGCAACAATAATCCCAGAGGTGCACACGTAAATGAAGGTCATCTATAAAACACTGACAGCTCTCAGCTTCTGCCTTCAAGGCCATGAAAAGGGTGATTATAACTGCAGTTTTTCTCTGTAGCTTGACAACTGTTCTCTTGCTTTGCTCTGATACCTCTTTTTATTTCTATTGAAATATATTCTAGTGTATGGCCAAGCGACCTGGAGGGATTGACTGAAAGATACCCAGTGGCACGTGAAGCTGAGCCGATGAAACAAGAGAAGAGGAAAGGGCAGGGTATATAACAGCTGTATTTTGCAACAGAGTGAAAAGTGTGAATGCATCACAAAACCAAAACGCCAATGGAGCAGACCAAGGTGCCACCAAACTGCAATGCATTGTTACATGACAACTGAACCAAAATTCCCCCAGGTCTTGGGTCCCCAGAGCTTTTGTAGCTTTGGACAATTCCTAAAATACCAATTACCTGGAACTAACTAGTAACTTCAAAGAGTGCACTGCAAAATAAATCAAGCAAAAACTTAGGTTTTCAGTACTTTGTTGGGGAGCAGTAGTGGTAATAATAATCCTGACTTAATTTCCCATTTAAAGAGTTGTGTTGGGGTCTCCTTGCCCACTGCTACGAACTCTGGGGAAATCTGCTGTTAAAAAGGTTTCATGTTTTTTACTATTATGAGTAGAAACCACCATTCTCCATTAGAAGAAAGGAGAGTAATTATGTCTATGTAATATATAGGATAACCTATGTCTTACTGCATAGCTATCAATTCCCTCTGCTACTAAGATGAGCCAGGGCACAAAGCAGTCATTTTTGGTAATAACACCAAAACTGGGATGTGCACCGAGCTGATGATGCTCAGGCTGGCAGATCTGCCAATCCTCTCCTTCAGCCTGGGTGAGCTGAAAGCTCTCAGAAGTCAGCCTGTTCCTATGGAACATTATACATGGAAAGAGAACAGCTCGTGTTGTGTATCATTTATCACTTGCTTTGTACCTCATTTACCTGAGGTAAACTGAGGCAAACAAATAAATGTTTCAGTTTGAATGCAGGCTGTTGTACCACTGCTTTCAACAGGAGTTAAATGTGATGAATTTCCTTGTCTGGGAAGAGCCTTACTGGCAGCAGAAACTTGACTATTTGTTGGCTTGCAGATACAGCAGCTGACACTTAAGAGATGTTTTTCTCCCTGTGAGACACAGTGGATGCAGAGACGATGCTAAGCTCAGACTTTGTCTCATTTCAGGCAGGTGTTGCTGACCTGGATGCACCAAACCTGTGTTAGCATTACGAGATGCCAGAGCTGGTATGCCCTGTCTTGTCAAGAACAGATCTGAACTGTGAACTATAGACCTGCATGGATCCTGATGTTCAAACCAGTGGGAATTCTGCTGTCCATTGAGATGCACAATTAGATTGTTACATGGTTCTAAATCCAACCTGTCTCAGATGCTGTCAGAATCTGTCTTAGAGGGAACAAGCTTGTGCTATATTAAAATGAGAGAGATTAGTGCTTGGGCTGCTCAAAATAATGCAGGGCACGATTAACTATCCCAGTGCTATGCCAATAGTATTCAAACAGCAAAATCATCCAAGTGCATCACCGTGTCTGCAAGGCAGCAGGAAAAACTCTCTTCAAATGTGCCATGGAAAATCGTGTCCCCATCACCCCTGCGCCTGGCAAGGCAAGGCACTGAGAGCAGGCAGATAAAATGGAGCAGCAGTACAGCTGGAGAACAGCTGGACCTGAGAGATGCAGGAGACACTGGGAATACACCCAGCACTTTTGCCCATACAGGGGGTTTCCAAAACCAAAAAGTGAAAATGCTAGAATCACAGAATCATAGAATAGTTTGGGTTGAAAGGGACCTTTAAGATCATCCAGTTCCAACCGCCTCCTGTAGGCAGGGACACCTCCCTCTAGAGCAGGTAGCTCACAGCCCCATCCTGCCTGGCCTTGAAAAATGAATGAGTCAGGCTTTGTTGTCCTGTAGGTCTCTAGGATGTTTGCACCTAAACAAACACAGAGCAGAGTCAGGTCCAAAGTGCCCCAGCTGGGAGTTCATGGAAGGAAGAAGCCTCAGAAGGATTTGTGTTGTTCTGGGATGGGCTCTCTGGGCTGGCCAAAGTCTGGGAGGGACCACCAAAAACGTCACTTATCTCTGAGTTCCCAGAAACAGTGGGAGGGATGCAGACAGGTTCACAACTAGCAAAAGAAATCTGAAAATTCAGCTTCACATGCCCCAGGCAATGGGCTGCTTAAGTACATGGAAGAGCCCTCATCACACACAGGAGGAAACAAGGACCAGGCAAAACAGAGGCCAGTGCTTCATCATCTCTCAGTTAAAAAAAGAAAAGAAGAAGAAGAAAAAAAATGTGACAGGGTTGTGCTGAGCAAGAGAGAGACCTGCTGAATTCACTTCTGTGCCTCGGAGAACTCCGTGTTCCTGATGAATAATGCTCAGTGAGTGAGGAGCTAGGAAGAATGCCTTCTCTTTCCAGCCATGTCTAGAGTAATTGCCTCGGGCTCTGTGAGGGCTGGTTGCTCTGTGGTTAACTCAGCCTCTTTGGCATGCAACTAAAATTAAACCTGCAGAAGCCATCAGGACATGACAGTGATTAAAACCCTGTGCTCAGGGGAGAGGCTCCCTGGATCCACCCCGATACAGATATCTGTAGGCTGTTGACTTAGAGACATATCTAAGGGCAGCTGACCCTGAAACTACGACACAAACTATTTCTAAATGCACAAGAAGTCTATTTAAAACCTGCCCTCTAACACAAACAGCTCTTTTTATTTGCAGGTAGCCCTCAGCTCTGGGCAGTGTGCCATGCTCTCAGGAACTGCAGCACTTCAGGCAGTCGTGGAGCTTTACTTCTGGGTCACACCACACAGACTGCATCCCTCTCATTTATTTGGATGCCAGAATTCTGATTCCCTGCAGAAGAATAGGTTTGCTCACCCCTGGCACACAGCAGCTGCTGGAGTGTAATTCAGCAGCTGGTTTTAAAACAGCTAACAGACACTACTTGGAGTAACATGAATATGACGACTGTAATGCTCACATCTTGTCCTTTCTGCTAGACAACCAACTCTTCTCAACATGTTCATCTTTCCTAAAGCCTACGCCTACCAATGCTGTTCCTACCCCATGCCCTAGGGTTGCAGAGCACCTGCTGCTATAGTATGGGAATATTCTGGCAGAAAGCTGCTGAACACTACAGTGCAGGATCCTCGAGGAGCCAAGACAGCAGACAGAGAGGTAAAACTTTTTGACATTGGAAATATAGAATTATAGAACAGTTTGACTTGGAAAGGACCCTTAAAGGCTATCTGGTCTGACTCCCTGCAGTGAACAGGGACACCCACAGCTCCATCAGGTGCTCAGAGCCCATCCCCTGACCTTGGCTGTCTGCAGGGACGGGGCATCATCCCCCACCTCTCATGCAACAACTGTGCCAGTGCTTCACCATCCTTATCATAAAGAGGTTTTTTTCCTATACCCAGTCTAATTCTCTCCTCTTTTAGTTAGAAATCATTTCTCCTCATCCTACTACAACAGACCCTACTAAAGAGTCTGACAGGTCAGTAGTTCCCTTCCACCTAACCCAAGGCATCAGTCTCACAGGATCCTAAGCCACATCTGCTATCAGCAGGGTTGGATTTCCTTTTGCAGAGCTTACCAAGCTTTGCAACATTTTGTTCACGGCTATTGCATGGACTCTCACATTTCAAGGTCTTTATCATGTAGAACTGTTGTCTGCAGTACCAGGAAGGTACAAAGAGCTGTGCCTTCCACCTCAAGACAGCTGAGATACTTTACTGAAATCCAGTGGGGAGGTAATAACTGTGAGTTAGTTTCTGAGACCACAAAATTTAATCTCTAAGGTAAAGTGTGAAAGGTAAGAAATACACAATTGACAGTCTTAAGAAAGCCAAAGTAAAGTTGAAGACTGAGACTTTTATCCTTCCAGGTGGAATTTATTTTTTTTAAGAGATAAAAAGCAACAGTGACTCTACACAGCTTTACCAGCCTGGGGCAGCTCTCTGCCAGTCACTGGCATCATCATTGCTCTCTGCCAAGATATCATCAACACTGTTTGTTCTGATCCACTGGGACTGTCTGTGGGACAAAACGTCATTTGTCTTTAAAGCCTGTCGTGAGGGACTACATCCTCCAGAAACACAATCTCTTCTGGACCTCAGGCAGGCCTGGAACCGTTATACAACAGGCTTTACTGACAAGAATTACTCCAGAGAAATAAAACCATCAAATGAAGCAATAAGAAACCTTAGAAAATGCAATTAAAAAAAAAAAAATAACAAGGACCGTATCAAAAGCACAAAACAAGCTGTTAACCAAGCAGTTGACCAGCCTGGAAATTAACAGTGGGAAGGAAGCTGCATTACACGATTCCAAAGATCCCTTCCAAATTTCTACACCTCTGAATTTAAAAACTCCAGACGATGTTTTTTAATTCTTTAAGTCATCAGAAAACCAAGCACTGATCCCGGAGAGATCTCCATAGCCAAATCTCAGCACAAAGAGCTTGTCCAGCTGTAATGCAGCACAGACCAAGCAGGCTGGTACCCATGACAGTGACTTGCCAGCAGTCACTTCTCCCTGGGATCTGAATTCTCAATACATCTGGACTAGGAAACACTCTGGAATATGCCCTTCCATCATGCTCTAGCATCAGAGTCCTCCTTGCACACTTCACAAACGTAGCTCCACATCTGTGTGCAGAAGTTCCTCTGGGCATGTACACATGTCCTCAGACCTGGCTGAACTTCATCAACAGCTGAGGAAATGTACCTCCTGTTTAAGCACACTATTACTACTCACTGCCACAGATGTTTTGCTCAAAACTTGGCTCTGGTGGATGCCAATCAACTAAATGCAGAGGCTCTATCTGCGGGGATATTTAGTCTCACTTTCTTCCTTATTTGCACTGCATTTGTTATTACTTCACCCCATACCCAGAAGCCAAGCTGACGCTGTTAATGTTCTCACCAATACTCCAGAAAGAATCTGAATGAAGGCACTGTTAACATACAAAGCACTGGGTTTTCAGAGAAGCACTTAATTAAGTGCAACCGTTCAATCTCAGTCACTCTGATTTAACAGAAATGATAAATTTAGGGCCAAATTATATCTCAGATCCTGGAAAAAGCAGCCAAGGGAAGACTCTGGCCCAGCTACACTCCAGCCCTGCTGTCACAAATTGAATTCCTCATGTCCTTGGTGAGAGCTATGCTGAGCCCTCCATCAGAGGGAACAAGGTATGGGCCACACACTGTAAATATCTGGCAGAACAGATCACTCTGCTGCAGTCAGTAATACTGTTTTCAAAGCAGCTCTACAGTGGAGTAACAGAATAGGTCCCATCTCAAAACTACCCTGTGAATACCCTCCCTTCACAGACAAGGTCTGTTATACTGTGACAAGCTGAATTTACCTCCATCTTTTAAAACAACTTCTACTTCACTGTTGGATGAGTAGAATAATGGAAGTGGAGGAGGAATAGTCAAATCAATTGCCCCAGGAAGAAGTAGTAATTCCAAGCCTTCAGATGTGGCTTTAAGTACCAGCCAGGGTAAAACTGAGCCAGTGTGGTCCTTCTGCAGTCCTGGTGGTTGGACTGGATGAGTTCTTTGGGTCCCCCCTCCAATCTTGAATTCCTGTGTTTTTAGACTGGCTACTAAAAAGGAATGGGAATTTCTACATCAGCACTGATGCAGACTAATACTGTAGCAAACACTATGCATTCCTGCAGCCTTTGCACTTGAGGCTGGGAGCCCAAGTGCAACTTGCAGCCACGTGGCATATGGAAAGCCTAGAGTCAGAGTTGTTCTCCCTAGGCTCTTACAAGAGAGAGGAACAGTTATTTCCATTCAGAGCTTTACAGAAGGATAAAACTTTCTGTAAACATCCTCTCCCCAGCATGACAGCCTCTCAGCTACACCAACTTGCTCCTCAGAGTTACAGGCAGAGGAGAGCCAAGAGCCTACCCCATCCAAAAGGGCAGAGAAAGCTCCAGAGGTGTTCATCCTCCCAGCTGCAAGCCAGCAGGAGGAGGAGGAAGAGACAATTTTCATGCTGCAAACCAGCACAGGGAGCAAACCATCTCCTTACCTTGAAGCATCTTTTATTCTCTACAGCTATGAGTTGTTTTGATTGCACCTTACACTAGCAATCTGTCAGGAGAGATTAACGGTCAGTGGAAAACTGATCCAGGCAAGAACATAAATTATAGAGATCTTAGATAATAGCAAGATTATTAGCAAATAATTGACCTTTTTAACGTAGTGAAAAAAAACCCTCTAACGATCAATTATCCATTTATTCAAGCATATGTCACTCATCTGTTAGCCTTTTAAAAATTATTTATGAGTGAGATTCTCTGCAGCGTGACCTTCGTTCTGTCTTCTGACACCATGGGTCAAACTGAGAAGTGCAGTGATTTCAGTCCACAGAAATCAGGCTGCTTAAAAGTGACATCGCCACGATAAAGCCTACCTGAATTTTTTGATTGGAGACTGCTTCTCCTGTGCAGTTGCAAGGTGCCCAGAATAATAAATGGGAAATACCATAATGTTCCAGTTTGTTGAGAACCAAGTCATGAAAAAAGGACAGTCAAATGTCTCATAGGTGATTTTGACGAACTGCGTTGTCCCAACCCAGGAGGAAGAGACGGACAAAATGATCAGAAATCTCCAAATGAGCTTAAGAAAGGTGGATGTGCAGGATTGGCATCGTGTCTGTCCCTCAGCTTCTTGGCTGCTGCTCTCCGTGTGCGCTTGTGTTCCTTCTTCTCCTGGATAAAAACAATACAGAAAAAAAGAAGAGTTGCAGACATCATTAATGCATTCAAAACAATTCTTAGCAAAATCTCGCTTTGTGATCCAGCCACAAACCACTCCGTGCCTTTTCTCATTTAATTCCTGCACGTCCCACAAACACCAAAATCCCACTCAGAAATACTTCAATAATACTATCTTGAAGAGAATAGGAACAAAAGATAAACACAATAGAGGCCTGAGGTAACAGCATCATGGTTAAGCTGTCTGCTTTATCAGCCCTTCTTCCCTTCTGTCAGCCAAACCTCCAGACACAGCTACATCTCTTGGAACCAGCTACGTTATAAAGTCAATTACTCTGCATGTTTGCAGCATAAAAGCTATCCGACCCTATGCATCTGGAGCCAGAAAAAAGCTCTTATTATTGAATATTTTAACTCAAAAATCACTGTTTTATTTGAGAGGTGAAGAATAAACAGCCTGGTGGTTTGATGTTCCAAAGCGGAGACAGGGATTACTTCAGTCAAGTTTCTGTATTTACACTTTTGAAGTTAAAAAAGGAAACTGAACAAAACTGAAGCTTGGCATGCCTGGAAATAAATCTCTAAAGATAAGCAAGAGGGAATCAGACAGTTGCCACGTTCCATTTTCATACATTACTTCTCAGACCTAATCTACAGATCGCTGGAACCAGCACTGCGGAGCACCGAATCCCACTGACTGATAACTGGCTCTCCAGATTTACTGATGCAGCCCATGAACCCAATTGTGATTTCACAGATCCCAGCTGAAAACAACGGATCCGACTGCTGCAGCAGCTCTCTGGCTTCATTGATGCCCGTGAGCTCATGCAGCACCGATGAGCTCTGATATTTACCACGTTAGAACGTATCTCATAGTTTGACACAAGGAACAGGAGTTCCTTCTGAAAACTGTGACCTGCAGCTATTCTCAACTATTACTAGCTGCATCAATGCAGTGTGATATAGTATAAGAAACTGCAAAGCTGCTGATGCTAAGGAGAGTTATAGATCTCCTGCAGTGAGAGCACCCACACACTTTTCTATGTTCAACCTAAGCTCAGATCTGCCTTTCCTTCTTTACTACTGTTTCTGCTACAGCCATAAGGAAATGCAAAAGTGAGGTTCTGAGTTATTAAATTAGACCAATGTGACATTCTAAAACTGATTCATCGTAACAGAGAGTAAATGTGCAGTCAAGAATTTACCTAACTGGGACATGAAGCTTTTTGTAATTGTATGGTGCATTTTTTCTCCTTAAAAATAACAAGTATTTAGCTGCTCCATCGTTTACTGATGAACCAAGAATTACAGGCTGATTTAAAACATATAGAAGATAATCAGACAGAACTCTGAATAGAAAAGCACCATTGTAGCATTATCTTCAGCTACTGAGAGAATACAGATATTTTGATAGCACTAATAATGACTGTTATCTTCTATTTAAAAGTAAATTACAGTTTATTTGCAAGTTAAAATGGTCTAGAAAGAATTTATTTCATAACATCCTCTTAGAGGTTTTCCTGCTAAGCAAAACTACCATGCAATTAGTCCTTCTTCAGCTGGCAATGAAAGCAATCACACAATGATGGAACACTAAAGCACCTTTATCTACACATTACATTTTCCAATTACCAAATAACACTGTAATTGCTGTTGCAATGCATGACACCATCATTAGCATTTGACTTGGTTGTTACAGCACCAAATGTTGGGGAAAGGCACAGAAATACACACTTTTTACAAGTTCTAGCTTGATTTAAAAGACCTGTGTGAGATTTAGCCTAATTAAAAGTACAGTAGGGAGGTTTTATAAGTGCTTAATTGACAGGATTCACCCCATGTAACGTAGTTAGCAATTGTTTTTCAGGCTAAAAATGTTGTCTAGGCTCCCTCTATACTTGGTGAGAATGGACAGGCATGTTGAGAAGGTGGCTGATCTCATCCTCATGTACCTAAGGGAGTTGGGATGTATGACCCACTGGAGGCCCTTATCTTGTCTTAGACTATATACCTACATTTAAAGTGAAATCCCCAGGCAAAGTGGCACAGTAGCTTGACAATTGCTTTTGAAATCCATGAGATGCTTATACTGAAAACCTGGTCAAAGATCCACAAGGGAGAGAAAAGAAATATCTTTAAAAGAATCGCAGGGCTTGAACTCAAAGAGGGACATATGGAAAACAGACACACAATTCACACTAAAAAGGTTGGAGAACTTCCAAGTGATGAAGTTGGGTCTGAACTGAGCTGGAAAGTAGAATTTGAATCCAGAAACTGAATGCTGTGCTGAGAAAAAAATAAATTCATGAGCCAAAGTGGTGGGCAGATAGCATTTTACAATTAGAAATGTCATAGAAATCCTTGGTGACTTACTTCAGTTTGAAGCTAACCAACTGACTTAACCTCTCAAGAGCATGGAAGCAACCTGAGAACTCAGTGAGGATGAAAAGAGAGGGAAAGAATGCAGGTGACACCACAGGTGACACACGCAGATGACACCGGTCAATGGCAAAGTGTGCTGGAAGTCAATGAGCAGAAACATCCTCGCGTGCTCCTTTTGTCTGTCAGTAATGTAACTTTTGTATGTGATATCTCTGTAACAAGAGGAACCATCTTTTGCTTTTGTTTTCAAAAGAATGAGGTAAATAAAATCAAAACCTACAGTTTTTCTTCTGAACTCTTAAGTATTTCATAATTATATCCTAGAAAATGATATTCTTTATATTCGTTCACCTACCTGTCAGGTCAGTCATACTTAGACCTCACTGATGAGGAAGATCTGGATAAAAAGGGGACTAAAAAACTGCAAAATAAACATTTGGATGAATACGATGTCACAGTACTATTCTTTTCTCAATAGGGCTACAAAGTCCTTTCTTAACAAAAGATAGATTCTGATTTGGATGTACCCTTGTGCAAGTAAATATGGAGTTATTCATCCTAATATCTGCAAAAAATGAGAACAGATGATTGGTTTTCTAATATCTTGGGTAAGATCTTCACTGCAAGATGCTGTAACACCCACTCCTTGCTGCAATCATCACCTTTAATGTCTTTCTGAGGGTTTCCATCAAAAGAGTACTCCTGGAGTACAAGATTCCTCTGTTTTCCATCCAACTCAAGGCAGAAAATAGGTGACTCTTGCTGCCATCAGTGACGAAGTGACAAGATAAAGTTTCATCTTCCACAGTTCCAGTGTGCAGGGGAGATCCAACCTGCTCTTCCTCTCCTTTTTGCTCACAGTACCTACATATACTGTTTTCCAAAGTATTTGGCACACTTAAATTATTTCAGTCACTTAACTGCTCTTTTCTCAGCAGTACAATTCAGCACACACAAAGGTCTCTGGCTGCATCCTGCAACTGCTCCCATAGCACCCCTGTTGATGACAGATGGACACCAGTGGTGAAGAAGCCAGCGTTCTCCATACGTACAGGTTCATCTGAGCTAAACTTCTGCAAAAAGTGTGTGACACATTCCCAGTGGAAGCCCTGATGTGCAGCTGCTCGATGATCTGAACCGTGATGGTCTTTTCTAGATATCCTTCCACCCGTCGCTCCTTCTCTTCCTCTTCATCAGACTGTCCACAGTACGAGCTGAGATTGTCATTGCCTTTGAGAAGGCAGATGGCTGGTTTTAAGGCTCCTGGTCTCTGGCCAGGCTGAAGCTGAGGAAACACAACCACCTCATAAGACTAACTGGTGCACTAACGTTAATCATCCTTCTGTTCCTACCGAGGCCCGGCACTTCCTCTCCCATCCTTGCTTCCTTCTTGCCTGACCCCAGTCTGCACACAGGTACAGGAAGGACTTTCACAAGGCCATGCAGTTTGCAGCACCGAAACCCAACGTCAGCACTCTGCACCGTCTTTCCAAAAACCAGACAGGAGAGGCCTTTAGCAGGCATGCTGCGACACCGGCAGTGCGGCCGTTATGCCTACCTGATCTGCTCTGCCTCTCGACTCTGCTGTGCCGACAGATTCCCGAGGGACTTCGATTCTGCAGCTCAAGAATGGGAGCAGCAGAATCTTCAGCCACAGATAGAGGGGAGAGCTGCCTAGTCATGCCTCTGTGTCTGCTGGGGCAGTTGCCTCCTGGCTTGCATTGGATGACAGATGATCGTGAGGCACCTGAGAAGAAAGAGTTTGCATCAGTTTGGCTGTAAACCCCCTGGAGGAAAGCGGGGCTTTCAAACACCGTCAGCAAAATGCATACAAACGAGTCAGTGGGAGAAAGGAAGCACGCTGCAAAAATCAAGGTTTCAGCTGCGGTCAGAATAAAGTAAATAAGTAAGTAAATAAATACTTAACTCTCTCCCCCCTTCAGATAAATGCTGCTGTACGAAAACCAGTCTTTCCCCTGAAGAAATGAGAGCCTTATACTGCAGCATACTCTCAGCCATGCAGCTCCATCCACAGGGTCTGAACAGTCAAAGGAATTTGTACTCACGTGGGCCCCTCCTGAGCACTGACACTGAATCAGGCAAAAGGAGAGGTCACCATTCCCCATAGGACAGAAAGAAGGGCTGAGGAACGACTGAGGTTGGTGCTGAGAGCCTCTCAAGGCAAGAGCTTCCCCTTCCATCCTTCAGAACCACTCTTGAGACTCTTGCATGTCTTGGTCACTGATGGGTCTTTAGGATGCAGGCATTTGCTAACTTACAGCAGAGGTCAGTTTGAAGGCTTTAAGTGCACCGTGTCACAATCTCCACATCTTCATGCATGTTGCTTTCTCTTCTGCTGTGAGGTGCAGCCACCCCCAAGACACTGCATGTCAGAGGGAGACTTTACAAAGGCACAAGGCAGTGGACGAGCCCCAGGATGCCAGAAACACCAGCAACATCAGATGAGAAGTTTGCTGGTGAGAAGGATACAGCATTTTACAAGTAAGTGCTTGAAGGACTGGACTAAGAACCAGAAAGAAACTTAACAGAGCAAACTGCTGGAATCTGGCCATCTGGCACATACTCCCAAACTTACTGGAAGTGTCTGTTGAAGAGGTCAGCACGTGAGCAGCACATCAGAGTTTTCTTCTGAGTCAGTAAGCCAAGACGACAGGCTGTTTTTGATAAGCACGTGTGTTCATGGTCTGTTGAGATCACCCACCTCTTCTTCTGCAGCTGCAACTTCAGCTGGTGACGACTTCACCCAGACTGACACAAGTCACATATACTCTGAGCAGCCACTGATTTTGCCATGATTTAGAGGCTTTAATACAACAAACATTTGCCTCGTGCTGAAAAGCACAGAAAAATGCCATAGAACTCATGTGTACGGTGCTAAGTATGCAACAAATGCAGCAACAATCTCTTAGAAGGCAACAGTCTTTATTACAACACGAGCCACTTCAGTGTGCTTGGAGCAAATAACTCCACACCAAATAACAACATGGAAGCATTTCCTAAAGCAGGAATTGTATTCGGGATAACAGAGGAATCAAGTCAACACTCTATTGCCAGGGGAGGCTGAGGTTCATATAACTACACATGAACTACAAACTGTTTGATTCACCTGCTCTAATGACAAAGACCATAAAGGAGACATTTAGAACACAGTCTATGACAGTATAAACACTGAAGCTGACTTTCAAGGACCAACACCTATTGTTTCTAGGCAATAGATTGTTTCTCCTCTTTTTTTTTTTGGTGAGCATCAATGTCTACAGAGCTTTTTAGAGCCTACAAGACATTTTCAAACCCTTAAAACGCTTTTCATCTTCATATATTTACTTTTTAATGGAGAAAATATTGATCAAATAACCACACAACTCTTCCCATGACTTTGTTCTACTCGTTTCACAAGTCCAAGCCTTGCTCTTCCCACTTGCCAGCCCACAAGAAGCATCATCACACCTTTATTCGACAGCTGAAAGTTACTTCCCATCTCTGCAAGGTTAAGACAAGCAGCACCTTCTGGCCTAAATATCCAAAAAGGCACTTCCAAATCTTCCAGTCCTTAACTGAGGGAAGTTTTATTTTCACTTGCTGACTGCCTGTCCTCCACCACCAAGGTGCATCGACCCAAATCACCACTCACTTTGAGATGCATCATTTAAAGAGATTTCATTACATTAAAAGACACATGCTACATCTCAATTTGTGTAATTTAGAGCAAGCTCAAGAGTCACATTATACTCAGCAAAAGTCTACCAGATGATCTGCAGCCAAAATTTCAAGGATGCCTATTTTTCTCGTATGCAAAAAGAGCTCAGAGTTATTTATATCTGGTACAATAAAGGAACACCAATCTTTTCCTGTACATTGAGAAACTCAGCAGCTGAGACCAAAACTGCAATTCAGGAGATTGCATTTAATCGAAAGTCACTGCTTGATTTAGTGAGATCTCCTTTTATATTTGAAAGCAATCAGATAGCACAGCAATTTATCAAAATTTCCTCGTTACAGCTGGAAGGCTTGGGCCATCTAATGCTACTGAATCTCACCATATTTTAAAGAGATACTTTGACAGGGAAGGTGAAGAGAAATATGCTGGGCTAATTTCTCCAACCTCAGCATCAGCTGCAAGGACAACAAATCACCATTTACAAAGCACTCCAACAAAACCTTGCACGTGTGCTTCTAACCCACGTGTTAGAGGAAAGGAAAACAGAACGTTGTGCAATTAATTCCCATTCTTTGATTCACACAACAATTACTGGCCCTCAAGAAGGGATCCACTGAGACCCACTGAGCTTAGACAGAAATCAAGAGCAACATTTCCCACTGAATTTTTGTATACATGAATCCCACATGACTATAGAGACCTTGTAGCCTCAGGTGAGAGCATGATCTCCCAGAATGGACAACAGGAGGGTCCTACCACAACATGGCACGTGAAAATGAAGGAACAACTAAAAAGCTCCCAGAACACACTTCCACCAGAGCAAAAGTGGAGCAGCACTGTTGGGGTCACTATCTTTTGACTTAATATAGATGCGAATCTTAGGATGAGCGCCTGATATAAGGAAGAACAACCATCTTGAGTAGAAATATTCACACTGGGTCAGACTTGTTACTCAACTATTTACCTGATATTTTTTTTTTTTAACTGAAAGAACAATCTTGCCAGAGTGCTGGATCTTGCTGCTAGAAGAGTTCCTTGACTGTTTGGAGCTTATAATTGAGTGTCAAAGTAACATTCAGCCCATACACTTGACAAAGGAGGGAATGGAAAACAGGAAAGGGTTGCACAGGATCGTATCAAGCATTTAATGAATCAAATCCATCTGGATGACTTTCCATTACTGGATAAAAGCTACCCCCCACTCTGCCCCATTTTTTAAGATTATTATTTTTATTCTATAGCAGTTAAGTCTTTTTTTCCCTGTCCTAGAAATGTAGACACTTTACTTTAGGAAGTAAAGCAATTTCTCTAACTACAGACTTTTCTAGACTAAAGGAGACCAGCAAGGAGAACATGGCTTCTGCATCCTTCTATCAGAGTCAGTCCATGTCTTGTACTAATTACTATACACTTATTCCTGTGTCTTTCAATTTAGCAAGGTAATTATGCTTGTGACTATCCTAAACCACACGATTAACATCACTAAAGCCACACCTTTCACATTCTTTAACTCTGCTCTGAACCCAGGCTGATGGAGGAGGTGAGCCACCAGAAGCTGCTGCTGTTCCAACCAGGAGCCAGCAGCATGTGGCTTGTGTCCCAAGAGCCATTTTCACCACCCATCCCTCTTGAGGGATGTGAAGCAAGACTTGTGGCTTTCCATTTATACACAGACTTTCACATGCAGTTCACACAGTGAGAATATTTGCCCCACGGTGTCTTTGGGCTAGACAAATCACTGTTATTATGCAGGGGGCTAGGAGAGAAGGGATTTTGCTTTGAGATTCAAGAACAGTGATTTTCAGATTAGTTTTGTATACGTACAACATGTTTATTGAGTGACAGCAGTGCTTAGAATACCAAAAAAGATGCCATTCTGCAAGGAACATCTTTTCATCTTTTATGGCCTCAAAGTTGCTACTGAAAACAAAGTGAATGAACTACCAGTAAAATAATGAATTCATTATAAAAATGTAGCCCTGGGAATAACTTTAATGGCTTCATCATCAGACAACTGATTTTTTTTTTCTTTTCTTTCTTCAATAACTGCCCCAATGGAAATGAAGAACCTCTCAAATAGATGATTGAATTCCTTTCCATAACCTCTGCATGTCCACGATACAAAGCGTTTACTAATTTGGAGACAGCAACATCTGCCTTGCTGGCATGTGCCAAAACATGTGCTTTGTTGGTTTACTGTTTTTTTGTATTACAGAATTAAATTGATGGCTAAATGGATGACATGCTTATGAGCTGGAAAGCTTCTTTCTATTTTGTTTTCACAGTCCTGCAGAGGAGGAAGGGATCATCCATAGCTATCACTGTAGTCAGGCAGTAGGTGAGCTTTGCCAGAAAGTCACTCAAGGCATTTACAGTCTTCCTTTTACTCGGAGAGTATTAAAATCTGTTTATTCTACCGTGTCCTCAAAATCTCAGCTCCTAATATGTCACTGTTTGTGCATTGACAACATGATGTCTTCACGCCACTGCCGCGGAAACAATCGCTGAGCTTTGACAGATGGATGGAGGTAGAAGCCAGGCTGGTGCTATGCGAAAAGTACGTCAATCGAATGTTCCTGCTAAATTGGGCACCAGTGAAAGAATTGACAACGCTTCCTTTGTGTTGCAACCTTACCTGCTGGTGAGCATCCGCTGCAGTGAAGGACGAACTCACGCATCACCAGCCCACTGCTTCCAGCAGCCCGTGTGCACATGCTCATCAGCAGTCAGCACACAGCCATGAGGGCTGGAGATTCTTGCAGAGAAATTCTGGCCCTAATGTCGTGCAGTAAGGAGAAGATGATGTAAAATTTGTGGCTGGAGAAACATCGGATGAGCACGACTCAAAAGAAATAGGGACTGAGTTGCAGTGCCATTGGTAGAGGAAGACAGCTTCTTCTGTCAATTTTATAACAAGAAAACCTCATTAGAGAGCATTAGCTATGGCTTTAATTGGATTGTTTGCCACTGCTACCACACAGCTGCGGGCAAGGCTACCTAGTGGAGTTAGGTCCATAGTTTGTTTAATTTCAGCCAAAGGGATTCAATGTAAAATCAAATCCTGCCCT